TCTTTCTTTGTCGTTTCTTTTCTCGTGTATTCTTTTGCATTATAGGTGTTAACTTTTCTTCTTCCTTTCTTTTTTTTATTTCCTTTTTTCTTTCTCTCTCTGTATATTTTGTAGACGCTTCTATATTTTGTCTCCTTTTTTCCCTCTGCCTTCTCTTTTTTTCTCGTGCTTTTTTCCGTTGCTCTTCATTATTTACCTTGACCTTTCTCTTTATATTTTTTACTTGAACTTCTTTTGGGCAATTTTTATCAGCACGTGTGGTGGTGATAGTAGATTGGCTTTCCTCAGCAGTATATGGCCCTAATTTTATTTTCAAAATATTTTTCTTTGGCAAAACCGATGGTAAAACCTCACTACTATTACTATTTTCTAGGGGGGGTTCTTTCTTTGATATTCTCTCTTTGGCTTCTAATTTTTTTTTATGGTAATTTTCTCTTTGAATTTTTTTCTTTAACTCATACTTTTGTATCTTAGTTAACTCCCTTCTTTTCTGAGCTTCTTCTTTCATATTTTTCAACTTTGCTTTTAATTTGTTTACTAGATCGTCATCCATTATGCCCTAAAAGTTATAGAAACTCACCATGGTATCATTACCGTCCCTTTAGAATCATTACCGTCCCCAAGCAGAAAACTTTTACAAAGGGACGGTAGTGACGGGGACGGTAATGACGTTTCAACATGTTATTTTGCGCCAATTAAATTAAGGTTATGTTCTGACATTTAAAAGGTACACCAAATTAATTTCGACTACTTTTACCATCCCATGCAGGTAAGTAAAACAATTTACTCCAACTATAACATTATAATCTTAAAAACATGTTACATTGGCGCGGAGCGCGATCTGGTGGCAGAAAATTATATTAGAAAAGACGCGACGGTAATGACGTGCAAAATTAGGGACACACTTTCAGTATTTAATAGCCAATTATTATCGTAAGATACTAACAAATTTTGACTTTTAATACATTATTTATACTATTTTTATGTACAAGAAAGCAACAAACGTCTAAAAAGTGGTTTATTGTTAAAATATTGCAGAAAATATCAATCAATTTAGTGGGTAGGGACAGGGACGGTAATGACTTTTTGCCGATTCTTCTCTATATTTGAAGCATTTGTTACAAAAGGATCGGTATATTTTAATCAAGCATCAGTTGGAAAAATAGCATTGTTAAAATTAGTAAAATATTTTTAATGATAACTTGTAATACTTCTATGGGGTGGAACAACATCCTTACATGAAGTTCTTATTCTTCAAAAAAGAGCGATTCGAGCACTATGTGAACTAAAAAATACAGAAAGTTGTAGAGAGCACTTTGAGAAGGAAAAAATACTTACCATTACCAATGTATATATACTTACCTGTGCCTTATATATCCACAAAAACATAGAAAACTACACAAAAAATAGTGACGTACACCAGATGAGCACCCGGAACAGGGAACAGTTACAAATTCCTCTGCATCGCCTGAGCAAAACTCAAAAGTATGTGGACTACTGGGGAGCAAAACTGTACAACAAAATCCCTAAAAGAATAAAAGAGTTCAATCAGAAAAGACTGAAAAAAATACTAAAAACCGTACTGCTGAGAAATCCTTTCTACTCCATAGAAGAATTCATGAATTGTGATGCGCAAATATTTGATATTTGATATGTGATCTTTTATTCTTAATTTTAACAATGTTTGTAATTTTATCTACATGTATTTATAATTGTAATTTTCTGTCTATCGACAACTGTTTGTTCCATTTTGTAATCTTATTTAAATTTTTATATATGTTGACATGTCATGTAACTTTCGTTAATGATCAATAAACTACTATTACTATTACTATTACTATTACTATTACTATTTGAGGTAATAATTCGTCCAGGACTTGAAATGCAAAAATGCCTGAGACTAACTCAAATAACAAAGTACACAACTTGTGTTTATTCAGTTTTTAAACTCGAAAAAATCACAAAATACAAGAAAACAAAACTAAATGTGAAAATTTTTGACAGACGTAAACAGTAAACTCAACAGGTTTTGATTAATACGCATGCGCCTCGTGCGTCGCTGGTTGTTGTATGGTGCCTCATATTTTTCCACGCGCATCCTATTTAAAGCGAGTTCTCCCCACCTTCTAGTTTTGTGCCCTTACAATACCATTTTAAATTTTTATTTTTTCTTTTAATAAATTTTAAAAAAATTAGAAATGGTATAAAATCTGTAATACTTGAATTTTTTTAATAAAATTTGAAATTTGTCGATAAACTTCAGTGAATTAAATATTCGAATTTTCTGACTGAATTAAAATTTTGGTTAACAGAATTTTAATTTGGCGCTAGTGCATAGTGCGGTTGCGTTACGTACTACCGCCACCAAGCGAAATCACATAACGTCGAACTTCGACGAAGGTACATAAGCTCGAAAATAAATTAGGCAACGGTGCATCCAAATTCAGTGCTGCCATTTTATTTACTACCTGTTTTGCTTTCCTTAATTTATTACCTAATTTAATAATTAATTTATTGAAATAAAAATAAAGAAAATCCTTTTTACCAAAATATTGGTTTTTATTGACTAAAAGATAAAAAACAATACAATATTTTCAATCCACCATTAATTACATTCATGTTAAGTTTGTGGATTATTTTCAATTACGTCTTATATTCTTTTTCTATGCTTATTACTGTACAGGTAGTCGGCTCGGACACGTAACGAGTAGGACAATTAACATAATTATATAAATATCTTCTTCTGCGAGAAATCATATTATATAGACAACTAACCAAATAATGAACCACAATTAAATTGTCTATTAGGAGAGTCTGAAATCCATATCTAAATTATTTCGTATATAGTGAGGTTAGCCAGCAGCGCAGTCTTGTTGAAATAGACCCCTTATATATACATAATTTAATAATCATAATCATGTCATACATTATTATATGATAGCACTGAAAATTTTGGACTGCACTGTTGCCTAATTTATTTTCGAGCTTATGTACCTTCGACGTTATGTTATTTAGCTTGGTGGCAGTAGTACGTAACACAACCGCACTATGCACTAGCGTCAAATTAAAATTCGAGTGATAAGTTATCACTGATAACCAACATTTTAATTCATCGAATTTTTCATCAAGAAAATTTGCCTTGCGCTTACAGATTTAAATCTTGTCTAATTTTTATTCCAAAATAAATATTCTACTTCAACTTAATTTTAAATTAATAAATGAAATGGTATTATTTAGATATAAACACCTTTTTTGAATAGAAAAAAATATTCATACAATAAAAACGAAGGCTTAAAAATATAGATCACACCAGAATGATGTAAATATATATGGGGTATTCCATGCCAAATTGACCACTTTTGAACCCGACCCCTTTCGATCTGGCCAAAAGTTTTCCATTCTTTTCTACCCTTTGAAAAACATTTTTTAATTTTTTTTCAATTTTACTTATCCAACCCAAAAAAAGTTTTACATTTTTCAAAAAAATAGGTTTTTTATTTCTAAATAGCCATAACTTTATCAAAAATTGACCTTTTGGTATCATTTTTTTTTATTTTTGTTTTTAAATGAATTTTTCAAAAAAATAGACCAAAAAAATTTAACAAGATCAACTCTATGAAATTATCTCTTTTTTAAAATCGTTATTTTTGCCATATTTTATTTTTTATATTTTTTCTCAAATTTTTTTGAAAATTAGACAATTTTTTTGAATTACTTAAATAAAAAAAAATAGAAAAAAAATTGGCCCAGTCTGGGATTGGCGGGAATAATTCTTACATTAATTGAAGTTTTTTTTGAGAAAAATTAATAAAAAATAAAAAATGGCGCAAAAAAAAACGATTTTATTAAAAAAAGCGATAATTTCATAGAGTTGATCATGTTAAATTTGTTTTGTCTATTTTTTCGAAAAATTCATTTAAAAACTAGAATTTCAAAAAAAAGAAGACCAAACCTATTTTTTGAAAAATTTAAAACTTTTTTTGGTTTGGATAAGAAAAATTTCAAAAATGTTTTTTAAAGGGTAGAAAAGAATGGAAAACTTTTGGCCAGATCGAAAGGGGTCGGGTTCAAAAGTGGTCGATTTGGCATGGAATACCCCATATATATTTATATATTTGAAAATAAAAAACCTATTTTTTTTAAACTTATCTGATACACCAACAAATAAATTGGTAGATTTTAATTTGTAATTAAATTTATTTTAGTGATTTTTATGAACGTTTATATTTTCTAGGCAATTTTTAATTTTGGTAATTTTTGTTTTGAGTTCATTTTTTGATGTCATTAAAAAGTAAAACGGCGTGCCATATATGTAAATGCACTGAAAACTTTTTAAAATTTAAACTCATTCAGGATCAATAAAAGTTATGGACCGCGAATTCATAAATAAAAAGAACTGGTTACAAATATTACTTTATTTATTTTAAAATACAAAAGTACATAGTGTATGTACTAAAATTATACTTTACATTTAGAACTTACGATACATTTACACGCACATGCAATGTGTAATCAATAGAGACCAGGTTTTATGCAAAATGCCTATCAATAATTTGTCATCGGAATTTTATGCAATCCCTTATTTTTAGCAAGCACGAAAAAATGTTACGTTTATAAATCTAGAATCTGCACTGTGGAGAGATTTGTAGCTTAAATTTGTTTAGTAGTGTCTAGACTTTGAAATATTGCAAAATACCTTAATAAAGTTTAATTTATTTTGTTTAAATATTTCATGTCTTTTAAATAAGTTTTTTGATAAATACCCTATATTTTAAGTAATTATTTTTTTGAGGGCCTAAAACTCCGGTCTCTAGTTATAAACATTAGGGTGCCAGCATTTTTGAATTTATTTTAATTTTTAATCAAACAAATATTTAAAAAAAGGTGTACTTTCTTGCACCCTAATAAACTAAGAACATTAAAATATATATCCTTTTAGGCTTTTATTTGAATATAAAAATGCAAGTAAACAGAAATTTTCATATGTAATTATTTATCTGCTATCCTTTGGTACCAAATTCATGTAAAATATCACAAGCCATATCAATATTATTTCTGGTAATACCCAGTGCTTTAATAACGGCGTCCCTTGGATATCCTTCTCCAACCAGTTTTTTTATGTAATCAATATTTAAGTTTTCATATGATACCGCGGCATCTCTTTCAAGTGGATTTAACCTTTTCTTTACTTTTGGAGGGACTTCTAATTCTACATTTGCATAAGAAGAATTATTTCCGATATATTGTTGTATCGGAGATATAGCCAGGGACTGCTGAATATTTGGCGAAGTAATCGATTTGATTGGAATATATTGTGGTATTTTTTTTGGCGAAGGACAACTTTGTTGTTCTGTTTGACTAGGTTCTATTATATTTTCGCAATTTGGTATAACCACTCCACAAATAGTTTCCGAGGAACTAAAACAAAATTGTAATTATTATGATAAACTTTAGCATATCTTAAATTAAAATTAAAGATCTAATTTTTTTAAACTCATCCCAACGAAATCCTGTTAGAAAATATGCAACAATTTATCTAGACAGTGTACATGTACCAATATTACTTACCTTACTTCTATTGTATCGGGTAACGATACAGTATGCATTTCTAACATTGAATTACTTTTTGATATATGTGGAACTTCAACTATATGGTAAGACGTGAGATTGGTAACAGATTGTGCTTCGGAAAGTCCGTTTTGCGATGTTGTAGGGACATGTTCTTGAGTAGGACTACTTTTCCTTGGAGGTAAAGGGGGCGGTGTCATTACCGGTACTATAACTGTACCCGGTAGATTTCGTCGAGTACTTCTTGGACTGTTTCTAGGTGATATCATTGGACTCGCTGAAATCTAAATTTGCATTAGTTTATTAATTAAGTTTTATTTACAAGAATTCTTCTTTTTTTGCGGTGTTTAAATTTGAGGTTATTTTGAAAGTTAAAATTAAAAAAACATTTTATTGCATAGTTCATTTATCTTCACCAATTTATTTAATAATACTATGATAGTTTTTTAAACATTAAGTACACGGGTCTAGATTACCTAATTCAGGGTCGCTGATTTCAAAAATCCTCCTTGTTTTGCTCCAGGACGTCTGGGATTTGAAATAATAAGATTTTTCGTTGATATTATGATTATTTATTGAATTATTTTACCTTAGCATTTCAAATACTAATACTAAAATTATAATTTATTTTTTAAATTTATTTGTCGTTTTAATTGAAAAGGCAACAAAGTAAACGGGTTTCGGTTTACTCTTGTTAAGCATAAAATACGCAAACAAATTGCATCATTGGATACTTTTTCTTTAAAAGGACAATCCGAGTTCATGAAAATTTTTTTTTTTTCCCGTTTTTAATTTTTAAATTTATTAAATAGAATAAAATATGTAATTTAATTATATTATCGTTTTGATGCCTAATCATCATCATCGTCGTATGTCTTTTGCTGCAAATTCCACCAATGTTCTAGATTTGCAGTCACTTGATGGAATCGTTCTCCATGTTTATCAGATTCAGTAGGTGACTGTTCGGCAAATTTATCTGGATGAAAATGTATTTTTAAAGACATATTAACATTAATTCTTTGAAAATCAGAGAGCATTTTTTTAATGTGTATACGCCAATTTTCAGTTCGATATGAACCTAGAACATTTTTAATGACAAATTTAACACTGTCCCATGCGACAAACTCGTTAACACTAGCATTTTTGAATGCTTGTTCTTTCATTAAACGGTGTATATCGGGCCCATTCAATACTCCTGTAATAGTTAAAATCAGTTGTTTTATAATATACTATACTACCAAAATACTAAAACACTATTTACTTCCCTTCCTTCATTTTTGCTTCACTTAAATGGCATAATTCTTGGATCGCATTGTGGTTTGGCTGCAATGCTTTTATAAAAAATTTTACGATACGTTTAATATATAATAGAATTTTATTCATCGGCACCAGTGGAACTTCGATCACATTTCCTCGTCCAATTGTATATTGCTGACCACGCAACAGCCAATCATGCTTTTCGTACTGATTTCCATTATAGCGCGTGTCCCAAAAACACAGGAAACTCATATTTTTAGTGTAACCGGTTTGCATTCCACTCAGAAGTGAGACTACTTTTAGATCGGAACAAATTTTCCAATTGTGGTCATTGTATTTTAATAATTCAATGATTTTTTTCAATGACATGTAAGTTTCTTTAGTATTCGTACTGAGCGCAAGCGGGACCGAGTTTTTAGAATTGCTTACATGAAGTCCAAAATGTAAAAAAATGGTTATTTTTATCAAAAAAAAATTAGGTTTTGTATTCAAAATGTCATACCATTTGGCTAAATATTTTTTATTTGATGTATACCGACGACAACAGTACATTCAAGACAGATTTAAGGCAGAATAATATAACAAATAGTGAAAATATTAACAAAAAAACTAAATGGGAAACATGATTGGGCGGAGCATTTTATTTCGCAATTATTCTGAATCCTAGACGTCCTGGAGCAAAACAAGTGGCATTTTTGAAATCAGCGGCCCAAAATTAGGTAATCTAGGTAGGCGTAGTTAATGTTAGTAATTCATAGTGTAATAAGTCATTATTATAATATACTATTGTTTTATTAATTTATCCTATTATTTGGCAATTTTTTAAATAAAAATGCCGCTTTCAATATTGCCAACAAATTACACGCGCCACGTTTTTTTTTAGACAAAAATTAAATTTATTTTTCATGATAAACTTCTTGATAATCAAATGATTATAATTATAAATATTATTATATAATAATATACAATTTGAGTATCACACAAATTATGCAAGAAATACAAAATAAAAAGGCCCGTATTTTTCAGTTTTCTAAATATTAAGAAAACGATAAAAAAAACTTTTTTTAAGTTAAAAAACAACATTTTTGTTTTAATTTTTTCTGTAAAAAAAATTCGAAAATTCTTTAATGATATTGGGTTAAATATTCTTAGATTGGTGGAACCATTTCAATATATAGTCAGGGGAGCTAGTGACGAATTTGAAGTAGGTATTTTAGGAAATTTGAATTGAAAAAAGGCACTATTTTATTAATTGCAAGGGGTAAACCACTGATTTTTTAAAATTAAAAATTGCATACGAATTAACGGCTAAGGATAACAATCACAGGAGTAGGTAACGCGTCGCTAAGAGAAATATCTTATCATAAGGATTTTTTCTTATCGATAAAGACTGATAAGGAAAAAATCAGAACACAACGTCCACATAACGTTAAACGTTGTTCTTGCTGATTTTAAAGTGATTGATTGTGCAATAGGAAAATAACCCCAAAAGTCCTTATGAAAATATCAATGTTAGTAAATATAGAATCGAGAGTGAGGAAGGACATTTGCGGTTAGTTCCCAAAAAATATCCACTAGGTTTTTGGATATTTTTTAAATTTTTATTGTGGCATTTGTGGAATCCAGAAATAAATGACCCAGACTATTGCCCAAATAACTTTGCTCTAAAGGCATTTCATTAATATACGCAAAAAAAATACTTTGGGCACTCTGAAATTTATACAGCATATTTATTTATTAAAATTGACATCTTTTCAAACAAAAATCAAAACACTTTATTAAATCAAAAGTAATTATTGCGAGTATTACTAGTACAAATTGCAGCGAATATTATGGGTAAGTCATGTTCGTCCTCTTTTATACATCATAATTTTGAAAATTTTTTGTTTTCAAAAACTAAAATATCTACTGCATGGTACAATACAAATAGAAAAACACAGAAAAATAAAATGTGAAACCAAAACATGTACCTACTAACATTGGGACGTATAAAACAAAATTTGATAATTCTTCATTTTTCAGGACTTGGAACAGGACTCCCAACGATTATTATGTCGCAAACTTAACCAACTCCAACTTAGGTCCAAAATAACCAATCAATTCTTGTTTCACAATGTCAGATTCTTTGGAAAATCGTCTAACGTATTTTCCAAAGTAAAAACTCTTTTATTGGGATTTAAAGGTTTAATAATAATAATAATAATAATATAGTTTATTTGCTTCCAAAAAATACAAAGCACGTCAAGGTAAAAATAATATAAGGTAAGAAATGTAATGAGTAAAACATTAAAATTGGTAAGACAGAACGTATTAAAAACATGTTAAAAATATTACAAAACAAATTATAAATATTACAAAACATTTAAAAGGACAGATTAAAAAATTCGTTAAAATCGTAGATAACATTATCCAATAAAACTTTTTTTATAGTATCTTTAAAATTTGGTTTACTTTTGAGTCTAATATCTATTGGCAATTTATTGAAGAACTTGATACCCCAATGGTTAAATGAGTTTTGGGTCCTGGAAATTCTGTTTTGTGGTGTCATCAAATTTTTCCTACGTCGTGTTCCATATCCATGATTAGAATGGTCTGTATAGGAGTTTTGATTTGAGTGAACATACATTAGACAGGTAAGTATGTAAGTAGCTGGTAACGTCAGTATTTTAAGTTTTTTGAAAAGTGCTCTGCAGCTTGTTGTTTGACCTGTTCCTTCAATGGCTCGTATTGCTCTTTTTTGTAGGAGGAATATTTTGGTGCTCCGCTGATGCCCCCCAGATCATTATACCATATGACATTAAACTATGAAACTGTGCATAGTAGGTAAGTATCGCCGCCTGGTTATCTATGATATTACGTATTCTACGAATACAATATATGGATGTTGACATTCTTCTGGACAGCTTAGCTATATGCGTAGACCAGTTTAGACGGCTATCCAGATAAAATCCTAATATTTTTATATGCGTTGGATTTGCATAGTTTGTGCTGCATATAGTTGTTTGTGTTTTTTTTAAGTTTAACTGTAGACCATTTGCTTTGTACCATAAATGTGCTTTATCTATGTTTTGTCTTTGTTTGTTGTTAAGGGTTAATATTTCTGTGTGGTTGTTGATAATTGTTGTATTGTCTGCATAGATACACATTTTTGCGCATGTTACGTTTGATGCAAGATCATTTGTGTATAATATGAATAAAAGGGGACCTAAAATCGATCCTTGCGGAACTCCTAGATTTATGTTTTCTTCTTTGGATGTTTGACCATTCCATGCGACAAATTTGATCAAAAGGTGTGTTAAACCAATTCAAGTTCCAGTCCTACCAAGACTGGCTAGGGACAAGTTTTTTGGGACAACTTGGTGTTAGAAATAGTGGTGTACAAAATTTGAAATGAGGTGTGCAAAATTGGAGAATCAGGATAGCACAAAAACAGGGTTTTTTCAGTGGTGGAGGCTAGTAAGTAGACGTGAGTAGACGTCTAGTCATTAATTTTTGGGATGCCGTGGGGGTGGATGGAGAAGTGGGCAAAATTTGAAATGAGGTTCAATTTTAGCAAAATTTAAGAATCAGGATAGCACAAAAACAAAGTAAATTTTGTCAGTGAGGGGGGCTAGAAAGAATTTGAAATAGGGTGTGCAAGTTTGCCCCCCACATGATTTTCCTTGCCATTTTCAAAGCAAGTGTGTGCAAAGATTAAGAAGGGGTGTGCAAAATGTGTGCAAAATTATGATGTATAATAAAGGGGGTTGGACGGTGGGGGAGGAGGGGGCAAACTTGAGTGACACGAATATTATACTAGTACAATATTCGCTGCAATTGGTACTAGTCCAATATTCGTAAAAATTACTTTTGATTGGTCAAAAATTGATAGTACCTACGAAGTAAATACTTTGGAAAACTTAATTTCCATGCCTCTTGATTTGAATTTTTGAAATTTTGGCAA